TAACAATCAATACCTGCTCCCAAGAGAAGATAGCTCTGCAATACGCAAAGACGGAATATGCAGTGTAGAGGTAAATATCGATTCCTATAATATAATCTCGATGTGATGGCTTTTGTGTTAATTATAACTTCGATGACCGACAACACATTGAAAGCTATCCTCGGGTGTTTTCATATTTTGACTTTGAGTGTCAATGGTGAGTCCTACATGTATTGAATAGTGACATTAAAATGTTTATTTTGTTTGGATTTTTGTGTCTACAAACACAATTTTCAAATAGGAGCTTCATTTCTTCATACTTCTAGTGATACTCGACAAATGTCAAAACGTTGACATGACCACTAACGTCTCCAAATAAATCTAGTTTTCCCTCTATATATTTATTGCTGCATTTTTCACTTATGTGGTTTTGCCATTATACGTTTTTAGCAGTAGGCAAATCTGATTTAGAAAGTGTCTGCATTTCTAAACAAACACATTAATGATAGCTTACAGCATGACATAAGTTATACGTTAATGTTTTGTCGACTCCTACCATTAGTATAATGCTGTATAACAGTGTGTCATCACGTTGCATAACACAGTGTTTATATTTCTTATGTTACTTTGCATAAAAATGTAGCCACGGATTTATGTTTTTGTAATTCCGCAGGCCTAGACAACATGTTGTATTATAACACATTGAGTATTTTTCCTACGGTGCAGTAATGAGATTTGAGACACGTTCCTGTCAAATTGGAAGAAGCGTTGTTTGGTGCCACGTTTGCATTTTTTAAGATTTAACAAGAAAGAAATACATTGTCATACAACTAGAATGAGAACAAAAGCAATTCACTTTGTGGAGACTCAAAAACTAATTACGCCATTGACTCATCTTACACGGAGTCTTAATAAAATATTCAATTTTAGACAAAATGAATTTCATTTTACCGTTAGTTCTATCATTCAGTCAAATATATTAAACTACACTATGTAACAATATGCAGTGATATATTTTCTATATTTTGGAAATGTCAAGCTGTTAAATGTCTTTTCATGTTTGGCAGCTTTCCAGGGTATACTTTAACCCTCGTGATAACATCAAGCATTCCTTTGTCACAATGACAGCAGCACTTGAGCTAATATAATTTATCAACTGACAGTGTTTACAAGTCTGCATGTTTAACCCACTTTAACGTCATGGTTTAAATTAACTTCAAAACATAGACAAGAACCAATGTAAACGAAAACCCATGCAAAAGGCAAGCGTGGTTATCAGACACTTAGCTAGCTTGGAATTCGGAAAAGATTTCAGTTGAAATGCTACATTAAATGAATCAAAACTAACTTATAGTTAATTCTCTCTACTAATTTATGTTAAAGATACAACGTGTATAACTTGAATACTCGTAATAACTAAATGCAAAGATATCGATTGTGGATTATGGAAAAGTACAAAGTTTAAAGTGGGTATTTAAGTTGTTTACATAAAACGATTGCCTGATTGATTTATAATTAGCATATCCATTCAAAGTCGATCTACTGCGACAAAAGTAGTTCTGTTCCGCGCGCTGTGTATGGAGTGGCATCGTTGGTACCGTGCCAATAGGTCATTAAACCTGTACTAAAATCCTAATTATTTATCGAATTAGGGACCAGTCTATAAGGTGTAATATACTTAAACAAAACAGACGTAGCTATTCGTTTAATTTCCATGCATTCCAATATAGACAATGCTGAGATTTCCATTGATGTAGACACATTGTTTGTAAACATTGTGGAATACTACCTCAGGTTTATGGCACCATTTCAAAACCTTACCTGGAGAACCCACTGACTGTTTTATGAGAATGTCATTTTGCTTACATTTTGACGTTTTGGCTATTTTTATCCTATCGGTGATATTCCATTAATATTGTATTACATAGGGCCATATACATATCACGTGAAAATAATATTCTTGAACAAATTCAACTATAATGCAATAATAAAGCATTTATCAAAATAAATTTTCGAAATAAGACGATGGCATATAAAATGATTACCCTGAAAATAGGATGAAAGGAAACATCTATTTCTAAAATAAAAATCTAGAAAACAAATTTAAGTAAACATAGCACTGCCTATACAGCAGAATATTTTTATTCTTTCATCTGTAGTACCTATAATGAATCCTGCATGGACATAATGTCCATTTAGGCTTCATTATAGGTACTACAGATGAAAGAATAAAAAGTATGTCCAGAGGGCTCTGAAACATATATAAAAAATACAGCAAAGGGGGAAAATTGTCTGTAAAACTCTTTTTAATTTTACTTTTGTAAAAAAAAATGGGCCAACAGATACTATAAGTTTTAGAAACGCGCGTAAGCCGTGACATGATACATTCCTGTTTAAAGATTAGGATCAATCTCGAGGGCTGATACTCCACCAGCAAAGTCACCCACGTGCACCTTGCCAACTAAAACAATCACAAAAGTAAAAGCATTTCTGTGCTTAAAGAAAACACTTAGGGGAGAAACATCAATTTTGGAAATTACATTAAATTCTTTTTAACGCAATTAATGTCATTGTCCCTCAACATATTTTAGAATACTGCCAGGATTGGGGCCCTGGGGTCAGCCTTCTTACAATAGTTGTCTTCATGCAAGAGGGCTCTATTTCATACATTCATTCATTTTCATTTGTTCATACATATATCCATTCATTTATTCTGGCAATCACTTCAAATGAGGTCATAACAATAATTGTACTATATGGTCAAAAGAAATGCTTATGCTATATCATTAAATTCTTATGGGGACCTATCAGTCTCCGAGATAGACAATACCCTTGAAGCTGAATTTATATTGGTATAGCTTATATGAAATACTAGTTCAAATATAAACTATCTGTAGTGGCCAAAAGTTGCTTATTTGTAACGTTATTAAAGGTTTAAGCGCATCTTTCTCTTTTCGCTGAATTCTAGATGTCATAAGGAGCACTTTAGGAGGGTTTTTTTTACTACTAAAGATCCCAAATGGATGAAATTTCCATATAGTGCAGTAAAATGGTTACTGTGTTTAGCTGTCTGCGTCTAGACTTTCTTTGGTTTTCTTTTCTAGTGGCTATTTTAAATAAAGGACATGATATCCAGATAGTTGACCATTTATAAATGCTTTCCCTTTTAATTAATCTTTCACCTGGTTTCGTGTATCTGTGATTCTGTGTGTTGTGTTTTGAGTTCTGTTTTCCTTAACATGACATACACTAACGTAACTTAGGACGCAGATATTTACAAATGATGTCAGCGTTTATTTGACATAGAATTTTTGAATAAAAGGGGGAAAAATGAAATTCAACTGCCATCAAAAGCGTGAAAAATGAGTATATCTCTTATTCAATGAGTACTGCTTATAATGATAAATATAAACTGATTAGTTTACGGTATTGTGATTTTTTTGCATATTATGAAACCATTTTTGGTAAAATTAATTTGTGTTTATTTTGGTAAAGTTCTATTTTGGACCGTATTTAAGGCTTGCTAGTCACGCGGAGAGGAATGTGTTCGTCAATATAGTTTGTGGAAACTTACTGACCTACCTTGGCTAGACATCTAGTTTTAATTCAACCGTATACATATTAAACGAACTGGAATAGTTTGGTTGAACCGGTTATACACAGGTGTAGGGTGCACAAACAATAGTACCACGTCATTGATATCTGCAATACGTATATACAAAAAGGCGAGGTTTGTCATTGTATATTTATGTTTACTGCAATAGTTTGCGGGATTGTATTCACAATTCACATTGTTTGGAAAAGAAATATAATACAAAACAAACGTACAAATAGCTCGGACATGTTATATCGTTAATATTTCGTTTTCCTCCTTTTTTCTTGTTCTGCGTTTCTTGTTCGGTAGGTGTTTTTTTTTAATTTCAGCTTTAACTTTGTTTGTTCTCATTTATTTGTATGACATTTATTTGAATGATATTTATTTGAATGACATTTATTTTTATGACATTTCCTCGCTTAATTTGTCCTTTTTCATCCATACAACTTTTGGTTGCATTCGTGCCACTTTTCCCCATTCATAAATACTTGTATCTCGACTATACAACTTGTCATCTCTATTATACTCATGGTCCATCTTTTTATCTCGATCGCATGCCTCGTTATTTCGATCATCCTTTAATAATACCAGATGAGGTATGTTGTTAGATTTGAAATATTGATAACAGATTATATTTCTGGGCTTTTTTAATCTTTTGTAGTTATCAATCAATGACATTTGAAATACTTTATTTATCGTCCTGTCATGAGAGTATCTATGATGCAGTCACAATGTGAATCTATATATCCTGTTATAAAATATACACGTACTGTATTAGATGGAGAAGACAAACAGCAATAGACCACTGGTTATAACTACAGACATACAGCAATAGACCACTGGTTATAACTACAGACATGCAGTTATTCACGTACATTATAAGAAATACACGTGCAGTAATACATGTTCTTTACAGCAGTAAACAACTGTTTATTATTACAGCTTATCAGGTGTTTACGTACTTAAATAGAAATATACGTGCAGGAATACATGTTCTTTAATTGACATGCTAGGTATATAGACGCACAATGTAACAGGAGTTGAGAGCGCATACTAGAACCTCACCTGTTGCGTTGACAAAGTATAAACCGAAAAGCTGAGTCCCATATGACACCTACACTTTCTAAAGTAGGTGACCCCGACACATGTATAACGGTATATATAACTATATTGTCTCCACATGATTGCCTTATCCCTTAGTCCACGCTCTCAACGCGTGGATAAAACATTTCCAGAATGAACGAATTAATCGTGATCCTAACAGACATGTTTGTCAATTGTATTATTTATTATATAAAAGAAGTCTTACTGCTACATCTTTTGTAATGTATATAGTATATCAAGTTATAACATAATTCGTGTCCTACTGCGAATGCTTTGTCGGTCAATCTGCTGTGTTTGTGACGGTAAGAAATGTTAAAGTATAATGTCATGTATCTCACCTAGTGATAAACTAACAGCCACATGTATCTCACCTAGTGATAAACTAACAGCCACATGTATCTCACCTAGTGATAAACTAACAGCCACATGTATCTCACCTAGTGATAAACTAACAGCCACATGTATCTCACCTAGTGATAAACTAACAGCCACATGTATCTCACCTAGTGATAAACTAACAGCCACATGTATCTCACCTAGTGATAAACTAACAGCCACATGTATCTCACCTAGTGATAAACTAACAGCCACATGTATCTCACCTAGTGATAAACTAACAGCCACATGTATCTCACCTAGTGATAAACTAACAGCCACATGTATCTCACCTAGTGATAAACTAACAGCCACATGTATCTCACCTAGTGATAAACTAACAGCCACATGTATCTCACCTAGTGATAAACTAACAGCCACATGTATCTCACCTAGTGATAAACTAACAGCCACATGTATCTCACCTAGTGATAAACTAACAGCCACATGTATCTCACCTAGTGATAAACTAACAGCCACATGTATCTCACCTAGTGATAAACTAACAGCCACATGTATCTCACCTAGTGATAAACTAACAGCCACATGTATCTCACCTAGTGATAAACTAACAGCCACATGTATCTCACCTAGTGATAAACTAACAGCCACATGTATCTCACCTAGTGATAAACTAACAGCCACATGTATCTCACCTAGTGATAAACTAACAGCCACATGTATCTCACCTAGTGATAAACTAACAGCCACATGTATCTCACCTAGTGATAAACTAACAGCCACATGTATCTCACCTAGTGATAAACTAACAGCCACATGTATCTCACCTAGTGATAAACTAACAGCCACATGTATCTCACCTAGTGATAAACTAACAGCCACATGTATCTCACCTAGTGATAAACTAACAGCCACATGTATCTCACCTAGTGATAAACTAACAGCCACATGTATCTCACCTAGTGATAAACTAACAGCCACATGTATCTCACCTAGTGATAAACTAACAGCCACATGTATCTCACCTAGTGATAAACTAACAGCCACATGTATCTCACCTAGTGATAAACTAACAGCCACATGTATCTCACCTAGTGATAAACTAACAGCCACATGTATCTCACCTAGTGATAAACTAACAGCCACATGTATCTCACCTAGTGATAAACTAACAGCCACATGTATCTCACCTAGTGATAAACTAACAGCCACATGTATCTCACCTAGTGATAAACTAACAGCCACATGTATCTCACCTAGTGATAAACTAACAGCCACATGTATCTCACCTAGTGATAAACTAACAGCCACATGTATCTCACCTAGTGATAAACTAACAGCCACATGTATCTCACCTAGTGATAAACTAACAGCCACATGTATCTCACCTAGTGATAAACTAACAGCCACATGTATCTCACCTAGTGATAAACTAACAGCCACATGTATCTCACCTAGTGATAAACTAACAGCCACATGTATCTCACCTAGTGATAAACTAACAGCCACATGTATCTCACCTAGTGATAAACTAACAGCCACATGTATCTCACCTAGTGATAAACTAACAGCCACATGTATCTCACCTAGTGATAAACTAACAGCCACATGTATCGCGCATTGAAATACCTAACGGAGTCAATGGACATGTTACAATGGCGACAAGGTAGGCTGCTATCATTGTTCTACAAACTGATGTCATAACGTGAACAGAGATAAAAACAAAAGGATGTGATATATCAGTTATTTCAGTCACCGTGATATTTTTACTACGAAAATGTAAACACGGGTAAGGTTGTATTTGGGGAAGTTCTCGGACTCAATCACAATATCATCCTGTAATTCAATATAGTTTTTTTTAGTATTTCGGGTGGGTTTGTCACCAAAAATTAAAATAATTGACAACATTCCAATACATTCAGCCTTAACCTAACCTATTTCGAGCAACTTTTTTCAGGTATCAAATCAAAATAAACGCATTCATTTAACCAACATATGAGTCATTCATTTTGAAAGACGTTATCCGATGGAAGAATTCATAATTCAAATTAGTTTGAATAACACCTTAGTAAAGGTAATGTAGAAAAACGTTAGGGACAGAAAAAAGGGAACAAATAAACACGTGAACAACGGAGTGTCAACAAAACAGTAATTGGAACTTTAAATAAAAAAAATCAACTAGAGTAGAGTACGAAGGAAGAACAATAATAAGGATATAAAGACAAGAGACCATGGCCCGTACTCAGGAAACCGTTCTCATGCGTAGGCATGGATTTTGTGGTAACGCCTTATTTCTTGTTTCAGTTATAAATTATTAAAAATGAATATAATTTCAATGATTTGGACACAAATGAAGATACTTAAAGCCGAATACCGTTTTCAGTGTTTACCTTTGACGTTTTTATTGTTATACATGATTTAAGCAGAGAATTGATACTTGAGCATGCGAACTGTTTCATAAATACGGGCCCATGTGTGCCTGAAGGTGTACGCTTCTAGCTTCTAGTCCGTCGATGAAAACTACATCCGACCCCCTCCCCACTCCCGATCCACACTTGATAATTGTGTACGACTGTTGATTTACACAATGACATGTTGGTGAAGATTAATAAGCCAACCCTTAAATATAATGTCAGATAAGGGTACAACAGTCGCTCTTTTTATACAAATAAAAAATGATAGGAGATCTCTCCAAAGGCGATACAGTAAAGATTAAAGGGAATGTAGCATGCATAAAGCAGTCCCGAATACTGTACTCACAATGAAGATCTATGAAGCATTGTTTGAAATGTTCCCAACATATGATATTCAAATGTTACATATGTAATAAATCAGTTTTGTCAGACTCCCTTCAGTCAAAGTATCATACAATCGTCTACGGCATAGATGTACCTGTGTAATTAAATGATGTGGAATGTCTGTTCTCCCATCAAACAGGTGAGTGACAGTTGGTGAGTGATGTTATCGTAAGAACACATGTACTTTTTCAATATCTGCATATGAATAACAATCAGTTAATTCTTGTGGAAAAAGTGCTGGAGACATCATTTATACTGCGTCACGTAGATCGTGGCATATTATCACTCCCTAGCCAAATTATTATCGCGTGCATGGATGGTGACTGGATTATAGAGCAGGGTAACAAAAGGCTCTGAGATTGGTCTTAAAAGCATAATTCATGGGGAAATGGTGATGACTGGAAATATTATCATGCATAAAGCGTGAACCGAGTTGAGGGATTTTGATACATGATATTTATTACATACATACTAATAAATACGGATTTTTTTTTATATGCGGTACGACACAATTGCTTTAACACATATCAGCCCCGCCGTATCACACCCCAAAACCCGTATCAGCCCCCGCCGTATCACACCCCAAATCCCGTATCACCCCTCTCCGTATCAGCCCGCAAAACCCGTATCACACCCCTTTTTGATTTTTTTCGTTTTTCATTATTTCAAAAGAAAAAAAAGATCATAAGATAGTAGCTTTAAAAAGTAAGTTATGTTATAAACAGAATAAAACACGCCTTTTTCCACATCACACCCAGTATCAACCCTAGACTAATATCAGCCCTCGGTTCTTCGGCCCTCGGGCTGATATTGCAGTCTCGGGTTGATACTGGGTGTGATATGGAAAAAGGCGTTTGTTATTCTCTATTTAAAGTGTAAAAAGATATCAAGATATTGTTTCTAGATGAACATAATACCCACACAGGTGTTTGCACCTATAACATTGTGTAATAGATACAGTATGTCAAAATGACACTCCATCATACAGCAGTTTCGTCCTTCTAGGACTCGTGGGTGATGCTATTGACCAAAACGGTCTAAACTACTGTTGAAACAAAAGGAGATGTGCGTAAAGCCCTTTAATTTTAGTGAGGAAAAACGCGAATTTTAACACAACCTCGCGAATTGTATTCCAACATCAATCAAACAAGCACAATAACACCGTCGTTGTTTCCTTCGAGAATACATATCCGTGTAAATATAAAGTAGATGCATCACCACAAGTTTGAACTAGCTTTCAACGATGTCACATCAGCAATTCAGCAATACTGTAGCGTGCTAGTGGGTACCTATCCGTGTAAATATAGTGTAGCGTGCTAGCGGGTACCTATCCGTGTAAATATAGTGTAGCGTGCTAGCAGGTACCTATCCGTGTAAATATAGTGTAGCGCGCTAGCGGGTACCTATCCGTGTAAATATAGTGTATCGTGCTAGCGGGTACCTATCCGTGTAAATACAGTGTAGCTTTCTAGCGGGTACCTATCCGTGTAAATATTTTGAATCGTGCTAGCGGGTACATATCCGTGTAAATACAGTGTAGCGTGCTAGCGGGTACCTATCCGTGTAAATATTTTGAATCGTGCTAGCGGGTGCATATCCGTGTAAATATATTGTAGCGTGCTAGCGGGTACCTATCCGTGTAAATATATTGTATCGTGCTAGCGGGTACCAATCCGTGTAAATATATTGTAGCGTGCTAGCGGGTACCAATCCGTATAAATATTTTGAATCGTGCTAGCGGGTACATATCCGTGTGAATATATTGAATCGTGCTAGCGGGTACATATCCGTGTAAATATATTGTAGCGTGCTAGCAGGTACCAATCCGTGTTAATATATTGTAGCGGGCTAGCGGGTACCTATCCGTGTAAATATATTGTAGCGTGCTAGCGGGTACATATCCGTGTAAATACAGTGTAGCGTGCTAGCGGGTACCTATCCGTGTAAATATTTTGAATAGTGCTAGCGGGTGCATATCCGTGTACATATATTGTAGCGTGCTAGCGGGTACCTATCCGTGTAAATATAGTGTAGCGTGCTAGCGGGTACCTATCCGTGTAAATATATTGTATCGTGCTAGCGGGTACCAATCCGTGTAAATATATTGTAGCGTGCTAGCGGGTACCAATCCGTATAAATATATTGTAGCGGGCTAGCGGGTACCTATCAAACTACTGACCATGTGGACGTTACTGAACTACTGAGCGCGTTGCATCACTGGAAAAGCTAGATTGCCAGTAGGTTGTATTCTCATAATTATATTCCTTTGCTGTTACACTATTCCTCTTCCTGAAAGTCGCGTCCCGGGATTTTGCCTTTGGAATCTTGTGGGTTCTCCTTCTGCACCAATACGCCTTCCCTAACCACCGGGAACTTAACTTACGTACTCCCTCAAGGTCTCTAGAGGGTACCTATCAAGCTACTGACCACATGAACACGTGACGATGCTCAACTATAGAGCGTGTCTCTCAGGGTTATACAGCATCGCTGGAAAATCTACTTGCAAAAAAATGCAGTATCCCCAATCATATTCATTGGCTGTTACAATCTCATTGGATGAACTATTGCTAAAATAAATATTCGCCAAAATAAGGTTATTTTCAGAATACTAAAGCATATATATATATATATTAAACTGTTACAAATAAAGCAATGTAAGTACAGCACTGATTGAACCCCTGGATTAATTTGAGAAAATGTTTCAAGCAGTTCCAAATTAGACTCACACTGAAAACAGTGTGATTAGTTTAAGTATGACCCTGATGTGGTAAGATCATGTCAGGGTGCAAACAGGGGATTTAACAGAATCAATCGAAACCAGCTATAAATACACTAAACTAGCCTTTGTGACTATAAATATAGCATGCGACCTTGGGAAATCAATACGTACTTGTAGTATAAACGTAAACAACCCACTGCTAACCGACATCTACAGCACACTCTGTCCTGGTGTATGTATTATAAATCACGGTTATACAGATAGGTAGTATCCGTTGTCGCTAGAATAACTCGTCTCGCATGGGTTAAAATGCCTGCAGGTTTAGATTGTATACTGTTTTAATAATTCGGCATTTCAAAAATAATTTATTTTTAATGCATTATACACTTAACCAACTGAGCACATGGAAAGCTTATAATAATGCAGTATAGGATTCTCTAAATGTCGGCCGGTTATATACTTAGTATGTGCATCTATTGTTTTCACTGTCAATCATAATAATTATTAACAGACATATGCATCATGTTTAGCTATGTAAAAAATAAAGTTGTGAACGTCTGTTGCTGTCGTAAACGTTTAACAATAGATATAGTCCAATAACTTTGTCCTTTGGTGACCTGTGTGATTTAAATCAGGCTTCTTAAAGTTTACTGCGTTCATATGGAAAATTTTGACAGACGAGTCTTTACAAACAACAGATTGACCAGTAGACCGATATAAATTGATGAATAGCCACTTCTCTGTGTCGTGTACTTAGATTCATACTTTTGGTATAAAATGTCACTAGTGTTTTTCCACTAATTTGATCATTCCATATAACAGCACAACACGTTATACAATAAATGGTCCGGTGTGTTGATTCATACTGTAAATATAACTGTATGTAAGCATACCGTAAACTGTTTATCAGTTTATAACCTTCGTTAGCGTAAACAGTAAATATAGCTGCACATCAGTGTAGGTAGTAAATATAATTGTACCTCAGTGATGAAAGTAAATATAAATGTACATCAGCGTAGGTAGTCAATATAACTGTACATCAGTGATGAAAGTAAAATAACTGTACATCAGTGATGGAAATAATATAACTGTACATCAGTGTAGGCA